CGCCGTCCGACCTGCCGCCGCTCGACTCGCTCGTCGGTGGCTTCCCCATCAAGAAGCTGTGGCGTCTGTGGTTCCATGGAGACAGCCTCACCCGCGGCACCCCGTACCGCCGTCGCAGATGGGTCAAAGATGAGGCCACCAAGGCAGTACTACGTGAACTCACCAAAGTGGCAGTGAAGTCCCGCCATCTTCCCGAGGTTCCATCCATCGTATCTCTTGAGAAGATGCCCAGTGCCCAACTCTCAACTGTACTGGCCCAAGTGTTGAAAGAGCTTCGCGCCGTGTTCCCCGTAGACGAGCGGCCTTTCATGCAGCCAGACACGACTGTGACGCGGTTGTGGTCGGTGCTATTCAACTTGCCGATGCCCGAAGGAGTATGTGACAGGGAGAAGGGCAAGACAACCAAAGTCGTGGCCAAGTTTCCGTCGCTGTCTTTGCGAGCCATGTGGGTGTTGTGGTGGAAGGGCGATGAAGATGGAGGATACCGCCACCGCGATTGGACAAAGGGGTCGGCTGAGACGCTCAGGAAAACGAAACATGTCATGGAAGAGCTCGGGCGGTGTGCGGCCGAGCTCAACGTGTCGGCCGACGAGCTGGACGCGATGGACCGCGACGCGCTGCAGAAGTTGCTGCAGACGCTTTTTGACAACTTGAAGGGCAGAATCACGAATGCGCGCCTTCGGGACATGAACTTGGACAACACATGCGATGCCGTGTATAAAGGCGTGGTCAACGTGCGCAGAGGACGCCCTCCAAAGCTTGGTAGGTAGGCCACGTTTGGGTGGACCGTGTAATACATGGATTAATATAAATTTATATATACCAGTAACATGCAATCGTACAGTTTGCCAAGCTGTTGTTTAGCCCACAAAATAATTTTTTTTAAATCTTATTTTATTTAAAATAAGATATTTTCATGTTTTATAACTAGTAAAATGTATATTATAAGGTGTATTTTTTTAAATTTGTTACAGAATAAACTGTATTTTTAGAATAAATAAGAAATATAGCAGAAGTTAAAGCTATACTTGAAAAAATAAAAAATAAAATTCACAATTAAAAAATAACATTATTTTTACATCCAACTCGACTTTACGGATGTACTGGGCTATGTTTGAAGGCGAACAGAGTAATACTCTGTGAGAAGTGTGCCCCATTTGTGTAATTTGCACCACCACCTTGGACATTATTCGAACGAAATGTCGAAAATTCAGGCATTTGTAAAGCCATAACAATAGAACTTTCATTTGATAAGTTGGCGGAAGTTCGCTGTTAGCGAATAAAAATATGTAAAGTATTATTGTGGATTCGTTACGAATTTCCAGACCCCGTCGAATCGAATATCTCGCCGCCGAATCGAATCACGAATCGACGCTATTGGCTAATCCATTTTTGAGTGGATTTGATTGGGTCTTACAGAAGGGACAAGTGTATTCAACCAATCAGAACTCCAGCGTGATTCAATATTGATTAGACAAACCATCCGAATTTTGGAAGTTTATAGCGAATTCACGATATTATGTAAATGTTTTTATATCTACAAGTCGACATTCAAAGAGAAATATAACTATTATTTAAATTGTTGTTTGAAATATGACATTTAATTTGATTACATGATGTGATACATACCGGTATGGTTGTCATATTCAGTACAGTAGCTCTGAAGTATACTATTTATAGTATATAATAAAATATTAATAATTGTTTTTGTTTTTTACTCCAATTTTTGCACTTTTTCAATTACATTAGTACTATAGGAAACGTCTCGTGGCTTTCAAGCGAATTGTATTCGCTCGTTTTGGCCACAATTTTAGGTGTCTATCAGTAAATAACATAATTGTACCAAAGGCCAAAAGTTGGAGATTCGAGCAAAATTGAAGAAGATATGAAAATTTGGGAGACGGTTCGCCCAAACGTTCGGTTGTCATATGAATGTGTTTGGGCATTCGACGATTGGTCGGAGTGCAGTAGTTTCTGTGAACATTCGCAACAATTAATAATTCGCACTGCATTTTTGTTTGATGGTCTTTTTTTATTGGGTTTTTCGTTAATATTATTGATTTGGTGCGAATTTCCGGGTCGAATCACGGCGACCAAACCTGATCACGAATCGCTCCCATTGTTCAATCTGAAATTACTCTTCTCTGATTGGCTACAATAGTTTTCTTTTACTTCGTGAAATGGGGAAAGCCCCAATGAAACTTCGCGGCGAGATTCGTGATTTGTATTGCCCTTTTGCCCAAAATTTGGATTTGTGTGCTGATTCGCGAAATCTATCGATCGATTGAAATTTTGTATGTAAACAATTGTCCTGGGGTGATTGTAATCACGCTCATTTTAAGTCTTACACTAATTGCATGGTGATGATGGTTTCCTGCAATCTGATTGGCTAAATCTATACGTATATCTCCTGATTCTTTGTACATTTGGTTGTGTCGATCGATTCATTCTCCATGTCGCCCC